TAATAATAAAGTATAACAAAAATTGCTTTATAATAAAATAACATTTAATTTAACAATTTAACGCCTAGTGTAGATATCATGCCAATTCACGATCGGATGTCTTCGATTTTGTCTCAATTATTATCTATATTGTTGTTGAAAAAAGGAAAGCACAGATCGGTGTCTCTAAGATTCTCCTCTATCCACTTGTCTGCTTTGGCATCGATTTCCGGAGTGAATGTATCTTTCCAACCGCCACTGCCGCCTTTTCTAACGAAATAGCCTGGTTTTATGATGCCGCATGCTTTAAATTCGGAATAGTTGACCATTGGATTATCCTTGAAGTTCTTAATGTGCAGGTAAGTCGCTAGCTTATCCAATTGTTCATCAGTATATGTCTTGTTCAGGAATTTTGTTACCTTTCTGATCGCTGTCGGAAAATCCTGTCGGAAAATTTTCTCCAATATGTATCACATAAAAATTAAAGCAGCAAAAGCTCAGGTAATAAAATTCTTTATTATTTAATAAATTAATTATTTACTGTTTATTTAAATAAACTGGAAGTTTAAAATACAAATGTGAAAGTAATCATTGTTGTTATTATTAAAAAAAAGATACGCATATAAATAAATGCATACAACCAGGGCCGGTGCAAGCACTAGTTTGACCAGGCGATCGCCTGTGGCGCCAACCTCGAGGGGGGACGCTGAAGACGCCTTAATTTTTCTAAGAAAAAAAGATCTTTTCCAGACCTAAATTTTAAAAATATGCATTGCTTAAATACAAAATTCGCTCTTGTTTCCATTCAAATATATCTGTATTCCAATTTTATCCCAGTCGAATTGTATTTCAACTGCATTTATATTTGATGTAGAATCGTACGGATCGAGAAATGTAGGGTAGCTTGTAATCCATTGGATACCGCCGATACCGGGGCGCCTACGTCCGCGTCGCGCCAATTCGAATATCACGTTGTAAGAATCATAATTCCGTATTTGGTGACCATAACGGCCATAACGGCTAAAATATTGGAGTTAGATAAAATATGTATAGGGCCTTATTTGTAGAGCATTTTATGAGCTTCATTTTTTGTTTGACAACTTTTTTTCGTACAATGAATACTTTCTGAAATAATTAACAAAAACAGTTTTACCTTTGTGGTTGGCTGGGGGGTGGAGGGGGCATTTGCGCCAAAAATCCATTTGGGAATATTATTTACTAGATAAAATAAGTATTTGGGCTGAAAATCAGCCAAATCGGAAGTGATAGCTTTTCGGAAGTTTATCCAAATAAATAATGTTAAATAATGATATTAATTATTGTAATAATTACTATAAATATATATAAGTTACAACTTACGACTTTAGAATTATACCGTACAAAAAATATGTTTTTATCTATAGGGCGCCATATTTTATCACTTGCCTGGGGCGCTTGTTCAACTCGCACCGGCCCTGCATACAACGTAACTCAATCTACATTTTATATCTTCCACAGAAATAAATTTGCTGTCAGAATCTTAAGAATCTTTGATATATTTTATCAATTTATGCTACACGAGCAGTGCAACTTATTTTGATACATAAAATGCAAAAAAAATAGAAATTTTTCTCGCTTTTAGAATTGCAATGAAGGACTAGCAATGCTAATATATTAAAAATAGTAAATTGCATTGACATACTTAC